TAAAGCAAGAAGATTCGATTGATTTATTTTCGTAATTTCTCCCAATAAATAATGGAAATTGAAGACAAATCGTCTGTAATTCTGGAAGCCAACTCCTGTACATTACAATATTTGTTGCATAGGTCACTTATTAACATTTGATATACTATAATATATCTATGAACTTTTAGATTTTTAAACTACTTGTGGACAAATTCTTTACTTAGTCAATACGAGTACATAAATCATTTGCAATATTTTTTAATAACTATTTATCTCTGTCTCATTTAGCTCTGTCATTAGTCATATGAAATTTAAATTTCATGAAGTATTGAATCTCTTAAGGTTATTATAATACATCAAAATTACTTTTAGTATGAAAATTGGTTGTAATTTCCAACTTAAAGGGTTTCCTCATATTTAAATATTTCTGAAATATAGTATTAAATTTTTTCGCTATCTTATTACCAAAACATAAAATACTTTGTTTTATTGTGCAATTTATATTATATATGTATTGTAATATTTTTATTTTAAAGAATTTACATAATTTTATCATTGCATCTACATAAATCTCGTGAGCTTCCATAAATTCTGGTTAGGAAATGTAGCAAATCTTGTTAAAATTAAGAAAATCAACAAAAATTGTGGGTTTCCGCTTTCTTAGTAGACGCTAAGCAATAACTTAACCCTTACACGAGCTAAAATGCCCTAAGGATTTAGAAAAAGAAAGGGAATGAAAAGATAAAAAGATGAAATGGAATCAAAAGAGAAAAACCATTAACAACAATAAAGTAAAGAAAAATTAAAATTAAATGGTCTCCTGTCGTTGATCTTAAATTTATAGCAGTTATTTTTATCAAAAATATTTTTAACAGTTTTTAGCTATTTTAAGTGCTTCTGAAAGGATTTGGAAGAAGCCTTTCCAATAAAGCAGTAGGTTTATTTATATTAAGATTTTTATTTTATTAACATTATTCTCTCTTTTAATTTAAAATGCTATAATAACTGTTTTGGTATTTTATTTAATTTTTTTTTTCATTAAAAGGTTAAGGTTTACTCTTGTTGGTATGCTAATCTATATTCAAATATATCTGCAAACAGTATTTAATACTTTAACATTTATTATATTCTTCATCCTTCTTACATTCTCATATATTATTCAACAACTTTAAAATTCATCTGCAGCACATAATTGACTTCAGTATCAACAAGAAATAAAGTCACTCATACGTGCAGGAAAACGAACGCAAGTCAATTGCATTAAATTTATTTCTTAATTGTGCATTTGACATTTTAATTGAGTTTTCAATTTCAATTTGGTTTTTGTCAATCAAATATATAGCAACTCATGTTTTTGTGTCTTACCAAAGATACTTTCTTTGTTGAAACACAAATGCATACAAAAATATATGGGAAAATAATTCTTTCAATTTTTAACATATGTTGTTCTATTGAGAGAATACTAATTGTTTGTAATTTTAAAGAAAATTAAATAAAACTATACTATTATTTCAAATAATATAGTATATATAATAAAGTAATATTACGAAATAATGCCCCGATTTCATGCTTCATCCATTTACTTACTTCAGACAATAAAGTCTTTTTTTGGTACCAAATAATGGTATCCTTAGGTAAAATAGTCAGCGCTCACTTATAACAGTGTTCTGACAATATGGTATATACATACATATGTGACCTTGCGCAATCTAAGACACGATATATACACTTAATCCATATAAACACCAAAATCGCCTCATATTTTCAGCAAGGCACGACCATGTCTACCCTCAAAATAGAGTAGAGATTGTTATTGACCTCAGCTAATAAAAATTAAAGCATGAACCCCAGTTTTAGGACTTAAGTGAGCCTCATCTTATCTAAGAGGCAGATTGTGATTCGGAGCTCTTGTCTCGTCATAAAAAATATTATAATTGAAATGATTGTTAATATATTCAAACGATTACTGTCTCTTTCAAATGGTTATATTTTTTTCTGATATTTTTTAACAACAAAAAAAAAAATACAAAATTAACATTATTGTTATGTGTACATAACTAAACAATAAAATATATTAAATTATTAATTCTTCACCACATCTCAACGAGAAGCTCATCTTGGAGCTTCAATCAAAAACAAACAAATTTGCATATCAAATTATTACTATAATTATATACTCAATAAAATATACTCAATAAAATAGGTGGACTTAGAAGCGGAAAGGTATAATGTGCTATGTATATCTTAGGTATGACTCCAAACTTCATTTGTTGAAAATATTACTAGATATCTATGATACTTGTAATATTATGGGAATAATAATAAAAACGATATATAATTTTACATTGCATAAAATAAAAACAATTATATTTCATTATCTCTACATTATTTACATTCTAGATTGTTTGATTTGGTTAGGTTTGTATAGTTTATACAAGATTTGCTAACAATAGACTATTCACGTCTTTTAATGCAAGAATTTTAGGTAGAGTATTTACTTCTTTAACCCATTAAAAGTTCGACATATGTAAAGTGTGAAACTAGAGATCATATCTGCTGTTAAGTATCAGCTTCACTAACTAAGGTTGAGCAGATATAATCTCTAAAAATAATAAAAAAAAAAATCTTAGAGTAATAAGTCAATATATACGAATAATTTCTCAAAGAGAACCATCTTATTGAGGTTCTAACGTAGGCCGTACTATCTCATCACATAATCTACCTATAAGATCATGTCTCTTGTGATGAAGGGAGTTTTCATAAGGTAGTTATTGAGATGCTCACATAAACCGTATTATAATATCATATAACTTACTTATAACATCATGTCTGTTCTATTGCAGTGAGCTGTCATAAGATAGTTGTATGAATGAATCAGATCTTCAATCTCTCTGATTCACAAAAGCTACTTTTCTATTAGAGAATTTTTTGTGGTTGAATTTAGTCCATAAGTTCAAGGTTATTCCATCTTTAACAACGGTTTGTGTTACTTTTAATTAATAATTATAATTTATTCTTATTAGTACCATAATACCTCTCTTAAATTAAAATTTTGTTATTTTTATAATAAATTATGAATACTCATAGAAAAATAACTGATTTTAAAATCTTCATTTTCTTTTTTTAAATAATTTTTCTTTTGTCGTATCTATTTTCATAATTCCACGTAACTTGAATACCTAAATAGAATACACCAATAAAGCTAATAATAAACTGCTTTTTCAACTACTTTTTACTCATATCTGTTTTTTTTTTGTGTCTAAACTTTTACCGGATATTAAAAACAAAGCACTGTCAGCTTTGAAATTTGAATTTTCAGCCTTTCATGCTAACATCAAGTAACAAATGATGTTTTTGCTTTGGCGACTTCCATTCAGTTTTTGTTGGGGTTTATTGAGCCTTTGTTTATCAACCAAGAAGTTGACATATTTGCTGAATTTTAACAGGATTTCCGGTATTGTCAAAGCTGCTTTTATTTTTACGTTTTTTTTTCTTTATTGAATTTTTGCTTAAATTATTTTTAGCCTATATAAGCTCTTTGGATCGATTTTTGGCCATAGTCCTGTGTTGCGTACTTTAATTAAAGTTGAAGTCCTTAAACTTTTTATGTTTATTTAACAAACTTAGCAGTGTTCCTGCGTTAATTAAATAGAATATATATTTGCATTTATATGAGCTTAACTACCAATTACAGCAATTGAGCTCCACGGGAGCAAATCGAAACAGGAAATTATAGCCTTTAATATTATCAAACTGAATACTTATTTTGGGTATTTCGTTTGTTGCCTGTTGTTTTTCGAAATTAAATAATACTGTTTATTTAACAAAATAAAATTGTCCTGTCGGAACTAGCAAATTAGGATGTCTTTTTGGTTTTGATTCAATGAAACTTTTCACATAAGTAATGATTTTCTATATGAGTTTGTGGAGCGATACCTGTTGATGAGTATCTTTTGTGCTATGCAATCTATAGTAAATAAATGAAAAACAATTTTCATTTAACAACTTAATTTGGGTTTTATTGACCTCGATTTAATTAACATTTTTAATCTTAACAGTTTTGTTGTTATTTAAATATACAAATTCATTTTCTTTGAGAGGAAGTTTAGTTACTCTATTCAATTTAAATTCTGTATTATTATTTGTTTCACATATGTAATCTATGGATGTATATATACTGTGTTGCATTGGTAAATATACATATTATCAGTAACCATCGAAATATTCAAAGGAGGTGGCACTAATTGTGCATTCAGCATTTCCGCACACACCTTTATTTGCAGATTTGGAACATGTTTGCTCAGCATAAATAATTAGTTTAATTTGGCATAATAGTTCATGTATAATGTAAATTTGTTCATAATTGCTACCATAAATCAACAATCTATGTATAGATAACTGGCTTTTGGGTTAAGTACATCGCTCGCAGTGTAAACTGGTGTAGTGCCACATAGCGTATGAGTAATTTAAAATTAATTAAAAGCAAGGTTTTTGTGTTTTTTCATTTTGAAAATAAATTTAAATTGTTTTTTTTTGTTTTGGTGCTCAATGGAGATTTTTATAATATTTTTTTTTTAAATTTAATATAACAAAATAATAAAAGTAATAGTTTCCCAAAGTAATGAACTGCCACGCAAAAAATTGTTGTTATTTATTTTCTTTTATATTATTTTATTTAATGGAATTTTTGGTTGACATCGAGTAGCTGC